ATGTACCACAGGTGTGTAAGTGAAAGTGTTACCTTAAGATCACAGGTGTGTAAGTGAAAGTGTTACCTTAAGACCACAAGTGTGTAAGTGAAAGTGTTACCTTAAGATCACAGGTGTGTAGGTGAAAGTGTTACCTTAAGATCACAGGTGTGTAAGTGAAAGTGTTACCTTAAGACCACAAGTGTGCAAGTGAAAGTGTTACCTTAAGATCACAGGTGTGTAAGTGAAAGTCCTACCTTAAGACCACAGGTGTGTAAGTGAAAGTTTGTGCAAGTGAAAGTGTTACCTTAAGATCACAGGTGGTGTTGAGCAGTAGGTTGGAGGGTTTGAGGTCTCTGTGCAGGACGTTAGCAGAGTGGATGTACTTGAGTCCTCGCAGGATTTGGTAGAGGAAGTAGCAGACATGGTCGTTACTCAGTTGCTGGGTCTTCAACAGTTTGTACAAGTCTGTTTCCATCAGGCACTGCACGATGTAACTGTGGGCAGCTGTTAAGGGGGCTTTCAACAACAATAACAAAATCGTCAGGCACTGCACGATGTTACTATGGACAGCTGTTAAGGGGGCTTTCAATAACAATAACAAAATTGTCAGGCACTGCACAATGCAAATATCCAACGAAAACCACGAAAATCCAGGGTTCTGCGCAGGCGCAGTACGTTCTGCTGATGTGCTAGGCTAGCGTGACCTGAGGTGACCCCAGAAAGGATACACGTCCTTCATCTCATCAATGGAGGCTGATCTGATGATGTTCTCAATGCCAATCACCTGTAACCATGGCAACACAACATCATCAGTACCACTGTAACCATGGCAACACAACATCATCAGTACCACTACTGTAACCATGGTAACAGAACAGTACTACTGTAACCATAGTAACACAACATCAGTACCACTACTGTAACCATGGTAACAGATCAGTACTACTGTAACCATAGTAACAAAACATCAGTACTACTATAAAAATAGTAACAAAACATCAGTACTACTGTAACCATAGTAACAAAACATCAGTACTACTGTAACCATAGTAACAGAACATCAGTACTACTATAACCATAGAAACACATCAGTACCACTACTTTATGAAAGGAGACTCCCAGTAAGATTTCCTCTGTAATCTTTGGTCATTACAGGTGTTTCCACTAAATTACAAGAGACGAGAGTTTTGTACCGTGTGATTTCAGTGTTTGTGTTTAATTTTTAAGATTACTCACGTTTTCATGTTTGAACCTTCTGAGGATCTTGATCTCGCGAAGTGTCCTCTGACAGTACGTCTGGTGCTCGAACGGGCTGATTTTCTTTATGGCAATCCGCTTTCCTGTGGTCTGGTCAACTGCAGAGCTGAAATAAACAGATATAAAACATGTCATAATGTCAAATTCAACTGCAGCCAAATTCTGGATAACTGTAGAGTTGTAAACATACACAGTACAAAACCGTTTAACTCATCAGTACAACATAGTCTGGTCGAGTTCGGAGCTAAAATAAACACTCAAAATATGTCAATCAATCAATTCAGTCAATCAAATCTTTGTTATCATAAAATTCATATCAACATAAATCCGCAGACATAAATATACACCATAGTCTGGTTAACCGCAGAGCTAAAATAAACACACAAAACACATCAATGTACCAAATTCGGCAAGCATGGCGAAGGAGCGGGATTGTTTTACGAGAGTATCACAGTTTGCAATACTAGAATATATTGTTTTTACATATTTACTGGAAAAGATCATTTTGAGAAAGACTAAATGGTGTGTAAGTAGCTACTTAGGTTCCATCTGAAAATTGATATGAGGGAGCTGGCTGGTTACATGAGGGTCCTGGGAGCAGCACCCTTATTCCCCTGTTTAGAAATTGAATAACCCCTGGTAACAACATACATCTGACATCTGAGAACCAACCAATCACATTGATGTGGCCCTAGATGTGATCTTTAATTGACCTAGTCCCTGATGACAAGGCAATTTTCACCCATCAATCCTACATGTAGCCCCCCCCCCCCAAACAGGCTGCTTATTACTAATATTAGTGCTGATTATAATAAGGCCATAGCAAGTAATTCTTATGGATGACATCAGTGCGTGCCTTGATTTTCACCAATTTGGGGGGAAAAAAACAAATTTTGTTGCTCTCTGACAGTGGTCAACATGCTGAAAATGGGTAAATATGTCTGTTGCCATGCTGGAAGGTGGATGGCAGATAAATGTGAGGAGGGGAGACAAGAAAAGGCTCTGATTTACTAGTAATGTTTCGTTTTTTACTTTTACCTTGTTGTACTGTTGTATTTCATTCCTTTATATGTGATGTTGCTGATGAATAAAAAAATCATGTTTAATAAGGTTTATGATCTCAAAATTTGTAAACATGGAAATCGTGTTTTTTTGGACCCGCCTTGTTTTTAGAATTTCGCATTAGTTTTGGAGTCTGTGGAGGATGTCATCCATAAAATTGACTTGCTGTGGCCTAACATATGATAACAAATCTGATCTGAGTGGAGGTCAGGCATTAATATCAGAGCAGTGGAGGCTCATAATGGGGTGTAAGGCAAGCACCTGATGGTACTGGAAGCCTTGTATGTGCCTACATGTGTATGTACGAAACCCCCTGAGAAGCCCTAGCAACATTGTGACACAGGATTCGTAATTTGCCACCTGTAATTGTAAATGGCCAAGGTGAATTCGAACAGGAGACTGTAATTCCTGATTTTTTCACGGTACTGTTATGTTTACTGTTTTCACTGTCACTTCTGTACCGTGAACTTATCATTACAGTGAACAAATAATAATTCCTGGACTTTCTTTTTCCTGCACCTGTCGCCACCGTGAATATTTAATTCCGTGAACATGTCCACTTTCCAGACCGTGAAATTTTGCTACTGTGAAAACAAAGTGAATTACAGTAACTCTCCTATGATTTGTACTAGGGCCATGCCGTATACTTTGGTTCTCAGATTTTAATTAATGAAAAAATGCTGACCTCAAAATCAACATGAAAAGATAGTCTGTACCTTTTTACACCAGTTTCAGGAAGTGAATATGGTCAGATTTAAGTTTTTTCCATCTCTTTGTTTATATCTTGAGCTCTTAAATAATTTTTACTTGAAAAAGTGTGAAAACGAACAAATCAACTTTTGTGCATGGCCTAAACAAGTCTTGACTGATTAACTTCTCAGCAAAAGAAAAACCCAAATTGTCAATCAAAATTCAAATAATCAGTCTCATCAATACACATACAGGTACATAAAAAAAGTGCGTATTTCTACATTTTACAAATTTCTAAATTTTGATAGAGGTGGGTGGGGCTATCTGTATCTGTATCAGTATAGCCGGTATAACCGCCTTTCGGCGTAACACACCAGCTTCGCAGGCACGCGGCGCGGCGGCAGCTGGCTATATTACACCGATCGAATTGTTACACCTAACCCCTGAACTTCTAGCTCTAGACATTGTTTAAAGCTATCTATTGACAATGCCCCTACTGTACTTGGTGACAGTGAGTTCCACTCTGCAATAGTTCTAGGAAAGAATGAATTCTTGAACACCTCAATCCTTGGTTGATAACTCTGAGGTACTTTAAACAACTGCAGTTGTTTTATGAACCCACTACCATATTATTAGCTGCTCACTGAATCACTCATGTAAACAAATAAACTAGCTCGGAATAAAAACATATCACATCACTGTTCCAAGTCACCCTTGGTAAATAGAGACATCTTTATGTAAACAACTTAATCCAACCCTGTAGACCATGGCTACATTTTTCTCTCAATGCTGTAATTCCTGATTTTATTTTTACGGTACTGTTATGTTCACTGTTTTCACTGTCACTTCTGCACCGTGAACTTATCATTACAGTTAACAAAATATAATTCCTGGACTTTCTTTTTCCTGCACCTGTCGCCACCGTGAATATGTAGTTCCGAGAACATTTCTATTTTTCTCAGACCGTGAACTTTTGCTACCGTGAACATAAAGTGAATTACAGTACAGTACCATAAGATTTTCAGATCAGGAAGTGATATGATCATCTTTCTTCTCAATATTTGCTTGGAGAATACATATCCTATGGTTCATGCAGTAATGTATTATAATTGAATAGCAGTTACCCTGTTTCTCTTACCTGTTTATATATTACATACCCACTCTTTATCCTGTATACTAACGTTATTAGATGTAATTTGAGATAGTTAGCTAAATAAGTAGATTGTATACGTAGAACCTTTATGTTAGCATGTAGTTTTATATCACTGCATTCTGTACACATTGTTCTTTTCAATGTCTGTTTGCAATTAGCCCTCGGGCATGAAGTTGCAATAAACAATTCAATATTTTATGCTACTTCCACCTGATGTATTAAGAACCCCTGCATTTACAATGTATAAGCCAACTGTAGCCGTGGCGACTCTTGATTCGGGCTTACATTGCATTACCCTCAGCAAGAGTCGTGGAAAGATCCATTGGCAGAACTGCACATTTCCCGTTGGCTGCACGATGCTCGGTTTTTGACCCGGTTTTTTGCTGTCCCGAGCTTCCCTACAATATAACTCCACAATTGGCCGGGTTGCCGATGTTTAGATCAGCCTAAATATTCCACAGCGCGACAGAGAAGTAGTAAAATAGCTAGTCGGCACAAGCTGGCGGCCATCTTGGATATAGTCGGGAATGTCCGCTACCGCCGTCGGGAACGCTCGGTAGCGTCACGATTACCGAGGCCCGACCGAAAGCT